CAGGGACTGTGCCTGCTGAGCTAAATCCCAGGCATCATTTTTTACTACAATTTCATTTTTTTTTTGGTACCAGGGATCGAACTCAGGACCTTGTGTTTGCCAGGCAGGCAGTGGAACCACACAGCTAAATCCCCAGCCCTAGAATTTCATTATTAAACATGTCTGACTACAAAAATAATTTTAGATTCTACATTTCCAAATATACTAATATTTGTCAGTATGAAAGATATCACAGAATAACAGATAATAATACAGGCTATAAGTCACAGTAAATTTATATACTTACCATTTCTAATTGTTATTTCCATCAACGTACTTAAAATCTGCACCGACACAATACAGTCTGTATGAACTGACATCATCTGTGCAAAGTACATCAGTGACAGTATCAGAAAGGGAAACACGAGCATCTAATATTTGTGAGGTGCATATGAAGGTGTTTTATGTGCCTTCCATTTAATACTTAACAATAACCTTATGATGAGTGGTCCTCATGACTTATATGAGGGCATAGACACAGAGAAATAAAATACTATGTGCAATGTGACAGGTGATACATGGAAGATGAAATCCAGGTTTGATTCCAAAGTCAGGAGTTTTCTGCTCTTTTTTTTTTTTTTGGTACCGGGGATCGAACTTGGGTCCTTGTGCTTGCACAGCAGGCGGTGAAACCACTGAGCTACATCTCCGGCCAAGGAGTTTTCTACTCTAACATGTTGCTTGTGTTTTTAAAACTTTCTTAGGGCCGGGGATGTAGCTCAGTGGTGCCGCTGCCTGCTGTGCAAGAGCAAGGACCCGAACTTGATCCCTGGTATAAAAAAAAAAAAAGTTGTTCAATATCACTATCAAAGACATGCAATGAAAAGCAACAAAAAGCTACCATAGTTGACTTCAACACTGGCAAATATCAAAATATTAATAATATTGTGTTCACAAGAGAATTAGAAAAGAGGCAAGCCGCCATCTTTTAACAGTGTTATTTAGTAAAAATTTTAAAGAAATTTTAGTAATACTTAGGCAAAATCATTGTACTTTAAACTTTCACCTAGTCAGCTTTTTTACTACATGAATTTTGATGCAGAGACAAATTTTTGGGAACAAAATCTCAAGTTAAAAAAAAAAATTTAAGACTAGGGTACAGCTCCGTGGTAAAATGTGTGCTAAGCAGGTATGAGGCCCTAAGTTTGATTTCTAGAACCAAGGAAGAAAAAAAGGCTAAAAGTAATATAATACATTGAAGGTAACAGAAAAGTGGGTTTGTACAGGACACACACTGTACTCAATTGTTATCTTTTTCTTTCGCTTCGGACCCACAGACTGAGTTTATAATAAATTTACACCTAAAATGTAAGCCAGGTGTCATATAGCACATGCATGTAGTCCCGGGCAGAGACAGGACAGTGGGTTCAATACCATCCTGGCCTATGTAGTGAGTTCATATCAAAAAAACAAAAACAGGATGAAAACAAACAAGCAAACCAACAAACCTAAAGTCTAGGAAGGGATAATCCAAACTGATCTCAATCAGGTATATGGCCTATATAATTTAAAATGTCTCTGCCATGTGTGTTAAGTTCTGCCAGTAGACACGCTGTACACACAACAGGTTTAGATAACAATCTTTCCTGATGTGTGATGAATTCTACAGTGAGCAATACATTAATTTTAAATGAATAAATGTGAAAATAAGTATATACAGTGGTGGGTGTGTAGGTCAGTGGCAGTACTTACCTAGCAGGCATGAGGCCCTGGGTTCAACCCCTAAAACCACCAAGAAAAGGTATGCACAAAAATCTAATGTCTACTGAGATTGGTTTAATTTTGTTTCTTGAGCTGGGGTCTATATGTTGTCCAGGTTGGACTCAAACCTGTATACTCAAGTAATCTGTCTCAGCCTCCTGTATAGCTGGGACTACAGGCATGCATTACTATGCATGGCTGAGACTGGCTCAAATAAATCATGGTACAGCCTGGCAAAGGAATACTATAAAGCCACTGAAAAAGATAAAAGGATAATATATGTGTTGAGATTAAAATACTCAATAGTTCATTATCTGAAATAAAAAAAAATTACAAAACATATTCACACACTGTGTTTAAGTTAGATAGTAATTTTTGTTTGTAGAGAACAGTCTAGAAACACTGGTCAAAATGTCAACAGTGGGCCGGGGATTTAGCTGTGGTTCCGCCGCCTGCCTCGCAAGTGCAAGGACCAGAGTTCGATCCCTGGTACCCAAAAAACAACAAAAAAAGTAAACAGCTCTAGGTTTGGGAGGAATTCAGCTTGCTTTATAATTTTTTCTTTTCTTCTTTTGGTACTGGGGATTGAACTCAGGACCTTGCACTTACAAGGTAGGCGGTGTCACTGAGCTACACACCTCAGCCCTTAGATGAGAGTAAAGACAGGCACAGTGGTGCACACCTGTAATCCTAGCACTCACTGTGTGTAGCCCAAACTGGCCTTGAACTTGTGGTGATCCTCCTGCCTCAGTCTCCTGAGGGCTGGGATTACAAGTGAGCCACCACACCCAGCTATACCTTTTAAAAAGCTAATTGAGGGCCAGGGATTTAGCTCAGTGGTTTGGTGTCACAAGTGCAAGGTCCCGAGTTCGATTCTCCATACCAAAAAAAAAAAAAAGCTAACTGAATAGTATTAGGACAAGAGCATTACAATAAATTTGGACACACTAAAAAAATACAAGTTGGCAAAGCCTCTCCATGAAAATGGATTTGGAACTGACAATGAGAAACAGACAAGGCGTCTAGCACATAGAAAATACTTCATAAAATGGGCATGGTGGTGCATGCCTGTAATCCCAATACTTAGGAGGCTGAGGCTGGAGGAGGATCACTGAGAATTTAAGGCCAGCCTGGGCTACACAGCAAGTTCATAGTGAATTACATAGTGAGACCTTGCCTCAAAAAGCCAACAAAACAAAACCATACCACTTCATAAATGATTATTACCCTGGTTCCAAAAAAATAATATGAAGAGAGTAAAAACCTCCTCAGATGGACAGTAAACTATAGATACACACACACACACACACACACACACACACACACACACACACACAGGTATTTTCTGTTTCATTTTGCTTTTTGAGACAAGGTCTTGCTATGTAATTCAGGCTGGCCTTGAACTCATGGCAATCCTCCTGCCTCAGCCTCCCAAATGCTGGGATCACAGGCATGCACCACTACGCCTCAGGAGTGTAAACTGTATTCATCGGTTTTTATAGCTATGATAGGCCCACATAACAAGATGAAAATTAACATGGACAAATGCAAAGTCTGATTTCTAAGTTAAGGAAAAAAATGCACAGCTAAGAGAATAATGAAGACAGCAAACAAGCTTTGAATTACAATACGAATACACAGGCGAGTCAGACAGGAGAACTGCACTGGGAACTGCAGCTTGGACAGGCCTATCAAGGACCTGTGTCCATTTATGGGGTGCAGCATCCTTTTGGGGTGACACTGATGAGCAAAGTCCTTTAGCAAGATCATCAGAATAGCAAGAGCCTGGAGAGTGTTCAGTGGAGGAGAAGGACAAAGACCGCAGCAGTTATTTCAAAATAAAGAAACACTCAGACACGAGGCCTGTTAGGGAAGCTTAGAAAAGGTAATTAGTGCCACTAGAGTGAAACCCCAGGGAGGCCAGCTTTTTGGTTTGTTTTTGAGACAAGCTCTTGTTATGTAGTTTGGATTGGGCTTGAGCTCACTATGTAGTCCAGGCTGGCCTTGAACTCACAGCAATCCTCCTGCCTCAGGCTCCCGAGTGCTGGCACTACAGGTATGTGCCACCATGCCTGGGTGGGAGGCAAATTTTGATTAGGACTGTTAAAAAAATAATTAAAGGGTCCACCTTGCGAGTCTCCCACCACTGAAAGCAAATGTTCCTGCCTGTTCTCTCTGCATTACTTGCTCTTCTCTCTGCCTAAAATGCTTCCCTCAAGAATGGATAATGATGTGGGTTTTTTTATACAACAAAGTACTACTCTGCCATAAAGAAGGATGAGCTTGAGACATTTCTAGCTAAATGGAGGCACCTTGAGACTATATTTTGAAATAAATCCGACAAACTCATTTAAATACTGCACTGTTTCTCTGGTGTGAGAAACTTTTAAGTGGAAATAACTAAAATGCATGATAGATATTGGGAAATGGGAAGAAAATGTTCAGATGAGAAGGGGAACAAGGGAGGGGCGAGGGGGAAAGGAAAGAAGGGACTAGAAAGTAAAAATAGAAGGAAAAAATGTAAACAAAGCTTTTGTAAATAAGGAGGGTCGAAGAGTGGGAATGGAAAAAAGAGAAGCAGCAAGGTATATGATGCACAGGTACAAATTCCCTATGATGAATGTTAGCATTATGTACGTCTAAAGTGTACCAATAAATGTTTTGATTTAAAAAATGCAATGCTTCCTTTACACAGGAGTGAGTCCCTTCCCATCACTGGCTTTCAGATTGCTAAGTCTCACTGAAAAATGTTGGGAAGACACACCTTACCTGGAGCATGTGTCTATTTACTGAGTGAGAAAGGGGACCCTTCAGGAATATTAACTGACAAGTTACTCCTGTGTCCAGATCTAATCTTAACAGAAAGGGCTTCACCAACTACCTTATATTAAAAAAAAGAAAGAAAACCTTCTCTCCCCCACTAGTATTCTGTTATCTACCCCAGCCTCCTTTAATTTTGCTCACCGCACTTATCATCTGCCATACCTATTTATAAATGTCCACAAACTTGCTTACTGTCTCTCCACTATACTAGAATGTGAGCTTTCTAAGATCAGACACTGACTCCTTTTTTACTGCTGTTCTCTCCAGTCCTCATACAGTTGGCACTCAAAAATGCCAACTACAGACGCTGGGTGCACACCTGCGATACCCACAGTAGGGAGGGTGAGACAGGAGGATTGACAAGAGTTTGAGGCCAGGCTGAAACACAAAGTGCTGTCTCAAGGGGGAAAAAAAGCCAAGTATATTAAAAAAAGAATGAAAGGTTATAGTAGTAGATCTCTCCTCTGCTTAGAGCCCACAGTAGGAACTCCATTTTTTTCACTTCTCAGTTCACACATAATAGCTATGGTTCTCTGATGCCAATGATAGGGGGTGTTTTTGCAGATATCAACAAAATTTTATTTATAGGGCCGGGGATTTAGCTCAGTAGTTTTGCCAACTGCTGCGCAAGCGTAAGGACCCGAGTTCTATCCCTGGTACCAAAAAAAAAAAAAATTTTATTTATAAAGCTGTTCAAAAACAAGAAAATTCTGGTTCCTTTTCTATGAACTATCCCAAGTTGGGGACAGAATGCTCTTTCATCTCAAAAAAACCAGGTTTTGGATGATAGCTTTTCAACATAAACCAAAGACACAAAATCAAGCTGAAATACATGTAACGCTTTTCTAGTTCATATATACTTGGATAATCTTGTAATAAGTTTCTTCAGCAACTGACAGTGTTGAAAGAAAATCTGTCTTGGGGTAGTGTTCTAAGAAGTCATTAGCAGCAGTGGTAGCATCATTAGTAGTACTTCCGGAATCTATAAAATCCCAAAGCTATTGCCAAGCAAGTAAACACTGAGGCTGCAAGATAACGAATTGTCTCAAGTTTGTTAGACTCCATCAGTGTTTTTAGGGAAGCAATTTCAGTGTCAATTTTATTAATGGTCTCTGAAATAACACTTTTGGTTTGGGTATCCTTTCTGGTAAATTCTGTGGTTGCTTCCATAAGTTGCTTTTCTTGATCTGTAAACATATCTGCTACTCTGCTTCTTTCTAGGTTGATGTCCAGTTTATTATCTGCTCTGATTCGGCTGGTTTCATGTATCAGTTGTTGTTTAACTTGATCTAATTCAATTTTCGTTTTCTCATTCTCTGCTCTGATTTACAAATTTCACTTTTTTCTAGGATGTCCACATCTTTCCTGATAGAATCCAAATGAGCCATTAGCTGTTGAACTGTTATTTCCTGTTGCGCCTGAGTGACCATCTCCTTATAGATAGTATCCAGGCTGACATTAGATAAAGTGGTTAATGCTGATACAATTGTTTCTGCTTGTGCTTTGTCAAATCCATGAGTTTCTAAATCCAGAACCAATGCATGGGTATCAAAAGCTAATTTCCTTTGTTCTAAAGGAGTTATGTCCACTGGCCTCCTATCATATCCCTCCTTGCTTGTAGTGGTCAAGAAATCTCTCTGCAGGGCCAGCGAGAAACACCCCTGCAGAGTTGAAACCCAGCGGCCCCCACTGCCAGCAGAGCGCAAGAGGCACCAAGCCCAGGGACACTTCATGTTCTCACCAATGAGAGTTTTTAAAAATAGAATTCCCACAGCAAACTTTTATATGTTGTAAAAGATTTTAATACTATGAATTTTTTCACCTAATATATATTTTTCATACATTTAAGATTTTATTAAAGCAGAACTACTCCAATAACCTGAGAAAAAAATCTGTCTTTCATAATCTTTCCTATCTATGGAAGGACAATAATTCCAACCTAACTAGGCATTGCATACTGGTTGTCAGTATAGAACCTCGTGTAGCATAAAAAGCTGTCCCGGGCCTCCAGTCTCACCAGTCTCCATTACTTAATCGTGAATTGATGTCTTCTGAACCATATAGACATTAAGAGGAATAAACTTCCACATGGATGATGTTTTTTGCTGGAAGATCAAAAATATCTAGAGCAGCACCTGAACTCTCTCTACAAAATCAACGATGCCACTGGCATTTACAAGTTACCACTTAGACCTGGGCGTGGTGGCACACACTTGTATCCTAGCACTCTGGAAGGCTGAGGCAAGATTGCAATGTGCATCCCAGTAAAAGAGACCCTGTCTCAAAATTTAAAAATGTAAAAAGGGATGGGGATGCTGCTCAGCGTGAAGGCTCTAGGTTCAATTCCCAGTAACACACACATGCACGTGCACGCACACACACACACAGTTACCACTTATATAAAGCAAAACCATGATAGCTTCTTAAGTAGTAAACATGAATGTAGAAAAGAAAACTGGATTTATATGATGTAGTTAATGGGTAAATTTTAATTAGAATTGAAATCCTGACAATCTATACAGGTACTACAATAAACATGAAAAAGTTAAAAAGAAATTATGTATTTAAACATTAGATTGCTTCTAAAACTACCTGTAACATTGACTTAGTAGTGTGACAAACCTGTCTGACTGTGTTAAGCATTACTGGCTATCCTGCAAACAATCTTTGCTACCACTTTGCCATCTCTTTAGGGTGACTTCTTGTCTTACTCTAACTTACTGAGGTCATGAGTTTGATATTCAAATTTTTTCTCTAATAATGCACAAAAAAAATTATGTTCAACTTCCAAGTATTTTTCTTACCCGAAACAACCACTTTAACACAGGTACAGGACACTGGACATAATGATAAGCAGAAGTAAGGAAGCCTTGTGTTGTCAAAAAAATCTGATCTGTTTTTCCTGATCTGAAAAAAAAAGGAAAATCAAAATGTTACCTTCATGGCAAAAATCACACTTCCACTACTACCACCACACCTAACATAATTAGGGAATAAGCAAAAGAATTATCTTCAATCTATGGATGTGGACTTTATACTAGTATGGATGGGTTATTCCTAAAACAAAATGCAACTGATGGCCTAATGCTTACTCCATCTGTTGGGTTGGCTCCACACTTACCTGTTGGACAAAGCAAAGTGTGCCAGCAGTGTTTAGAGGAGAGCACATCATTTTTTTTTTTGCCGGGTTGGGAGTATACTTCATAGAACTCAGTATTAGAATTAATGCGATCTCTCTAAACCTGCATTATGCCCTGGGAGAAATCATAACAACTTGGGCATTGTGATAGAGATTACTAGTTGACAATATTAACATCAATTTTTGCCTTTGTTAATAACTGAGCCCTAAGTTTTAACTGGGCATACTGGCTGTCTGAAATAAAAATTACTTCCCTGCTTTCCTTGTCGCTAAGCATGCCTATGTTGAGGAAATTCTAGTGCGGTGGGAGATTTCTGGTTATCTGAACATAAAGGCTGGAACTCCCACAGACTGAAGCAGTGAGGTGCTAAAAATGGAGGAGGAGGAGGAGGATTATGTGATAAAAATATCACAGCAGCTTCCATATCAGAGAGAAGTATACTTCGTGTTTAAGTCTCTGCCATTCTAACAGTTACTGCTGTTACACAGTTTTTAATCCTCATAAAAACAAAGGATGTGCTAAACCACTATCAGCACACCTGTGATTGAGAAAACATAAAGAGAAAGACTAATAAAAGGCATAGGAAATTAGACAGGCACTAACAGAAATTAACTGTTGCCCCAACCCCTCCATCAAATTCAGGACCTTGCGTCTGTAAGGCAGGAACAGCGCTGCTGAGCTAAATCCATGACCTGGAAATTAACTGTTTAGAAGACCATGCTGGACAGAATTTCTTTTTCCTTTTTGTTCTTTATTCCCTCCTTTTTTTTTCAAGTAGTACTGAGAATTGAACCCAGGACCTCATACTATGCAAGAGCTCTACCAGTGAGCTACATCCCTAGTCATTTTTTATTTTTATTTTGACAGTGTCTTATGAACTTGCCCAGGATGGCCTTGAACCTGTGCTCCTCCAGTCTCAGCCTCCCAAGTAGCTGGGATCAGAGGTATGCACTACTGTCCATGGCAGGCAAAAGTTTTCTAATTTTTTTGGTTGTCTTTTTTGAGACAGGGTCTTGCTATGTAGCTCAGGCTGGTCTTGAACTCACTTTGTAGCCCATGCTGGCCTCAAACTCACAGCAATCCCCCTGCCTCAGCCTCTCGAGTGCTGGACTATAGGCATGTGCCACCATACCTGGGTCTTAATTTTTTTATCCAAAATAAAGCAAAGTGTTTGTTTTTTACTTACTTGATTTTTATTTTTATTATTTATTTATTTATTTATTTTTTAGTTCTTTTATTGGTACATTTTAGGTATACAATTCGTTTATATTTATCACTGGGTGCTTATACCTGTACATGATGTAACTTGGTTCTTATTTTTTCCTCATTACCTGTGTACCCTTCACTCCCTCCACCCTTCCCTATTTACACAGATTTCATTTCCATTTTTTTTTCTTTTCTCATAGTTTTTCTACTTACTTGAGAATAAGCTTTTCTACAGCACTTTGTCCGATAAAACCAGAGTCTCTTAAATCCAATGTATACTGATTGAAAATCTTTCCAGAATTGAGGAAATTAAATATTTCTTCACCTGGGTGATGATCAGGAATAGCATCAATTGTAACTGAAAATTTCTTTAGAAATTCTCTGAAATAAAAAAGTTAATGAATACTGAATAGTTACAGTACATGTGGTTTGTACTTAAAAGTTGAGTGCAAAGAAAACTTTTTTTATAATTAACGGTAACCCCAGATTAGACTCACTTTTGATAAAGTCAAAAGCCACTAAATGTGTCTGCATGAAAAGGAGCAATAACCGGAAGAAAGACAAAATGTGTAAGTTGGCTTGAACATTTGCCTTCCAGCATCATCACAGATGGATCTGAAGCTCAGCATACATTATTCACCATATTAACAGCTGTCAGGGGCTCATTTATTTCACAAAACCTAAACAATGTGAAAGCAACAAGGCATGTGTGTAAGTTATGAAAAATACTTTACCTGTGTTCTTCTAAGAGGTCATCCTCATCATCCGTACTGTCTTGATCTCCAATTCTAATTGGAGATTTAATGCCTCGACCCTGCCTTATGTCTTCTTGTAGTTGCTTCTGTAGTTCATCTAGCCTGAGAATCAAAAGAATGCTAGGATAAAGTTTACTCTAAAAATTAAAAAAAAAAAAAAAGCTTTAGTTGGTATCTAAAAGCAGCACAAGTGGCACAAGGGAAAATCCTTATTAGGTTCCCTATCATATGACAAATTATGTTATACTATAGGTTGCATCACATCTCCCAAATACATCATGATGTTCAAAAGAGCACACCATCACATAAAAAACTTGAATATAAGACTTATAGCTAGGACTTCCAGAATGACCTGTCCAAATCATCAGAGGATAGGAAAAGAAAAACAGCAAAGAAGAAAACCATTAATTTTATTGCCCTCTGTCATCTTTAGTGCTCCTCTGAGGTCTAAGAGAGTAACAGTCTGATGGTGCCAACTAGGCTTCCTAGCAGCAGCTTGTTGTCACTGTGGTCATCATCTCCCTAGCCCTAACATTGAGCACCTACTACATGACAGTGCAGTACTGAGGGCTTTGTGTGTTAGCTCTCTGAATCCTCAGCAACTCCTGGGTAGCAGTTTATTATTATCAACGTTTTAGATGAGGAAACAAACATCAGCCCCCATCCTTTTTAGCACCACTGGGGATCAAACCCAGGGACACTCTACCACTAGTCACATCTCCAGCCCTTTTCATCTCTTACTTTTGAGACAGGATATTGCTAGATTGTCCTGGCTGGCCTTAAACCCTGCAATCACCCTGCCTCAGCTTCCTGAGTACCTGGGATTACAGGCATGTGCCTCCACATCTGACATACACTGCCTCCTTTTAAATTTTTTTGGTGGTACTGGGGATTGAATCCAGGGCCTCTGTACTGCACTACACCCCTAGCACCTTGTATTTTGTGACAGGATCTCACTAGGTGCCCAATCTGAACTCTAGATCCTATTGACATTGCATTTTTAAATCAAAGTTATTCTCTGCTCCAACCACAAACAATGCATGGCTTACAAAATGGTAAAAAACCAGTAAATATACTGTTTTATCCCTACAAAAAGTCAATCATCAGATTAAACTAACATCTACCCCTTTGGTCTGAGCAATGCTCAATTTTAAATAAGCAACTTCGGATTTCACATCCCTGATCTCCTGAATTCACCAAATATTTAAAGAATTTTATAATAGGGATAATTTCTCTAATTATAAATTCAAAGAGGAAAAAACTTTGACCTAGTAACTGTCTACAAAATTCCTATATTTAGCTCTTTGGTCATCAAGTTTGAGATACACATATACCAACTTCTTATAATCAAGTCAGGCAAACTTTCAGTGAAGTCCTCTGCGCTAGTTTCACAGCTATGCCTTGGATTAATGAGGAATATATTTCCCCCTTCATATTAGTCTTAACAGTTTGTAACAGTGGTGGCAAACCTATGACACATGTGCCACAGCGAGCTGTTTGTATCACTGAAAGCTCTAAAAGGTTCGCCATCACTGCTCTATGACTACGAGTCATGAAGATTTTATTAGGGAAATTATGACCCTGAACTTGCTGATTTTTCTGGCTATGGGTGTTTTTGTGGGATGAGGTGGGTATTCATAATTTTGAAATCTTCACTCAAAAAAGTAACTTGATAATAGAAATATGTCTAGTTATGCTGGTTTCAAAACTTAGATTTGGTGAACTAATGTTTAAAAACACTTTATCTGTGTGAACAACAGAAAAACTAAACCTGATTAAAAAAAGGCAGAGAATCTGCCCAGCCATTCCATCAAAGCAGCTATGTAATGGCTAATGGCACATGAAAAGATATCCCATATGTTCAGTTAGTAGGGAGATGCAAATCAAAACCATCATGAGGTACCACTTCACATCTACTAGGACAGTTATCAAAAAGGAGGAAAGGTAAGTGTTGGAGAGTACACAGAGAAAGGTAACTTTTATCATTGCTGGTGGGCAACAGTGTGGCAGTTCTGCCCAAAATGAAACACTTACCTTATGATTCAGCAAGTCCATTTATAGGAACACCCCCAAAGTAATGAAAAGGTGTGTCTTTATGATATGTACACTCATATTCATAACAACATTATTCACAATAGCCAAAGAGTAGATAAAACCTAAGTGGCCATAGATGAATAAACAAAATATGGTATACACATAATAATAAAATGAAATGGTCAACCATAAAAAGGAAGCAAATTCTGACACAATCTTGCCATTAAAGAACAATGAAGATATTATGCTAAGCAAAGTTAGCCAGTCATAAAAGGACAAACACTGATGATCCCGTGTATACAAGTATTTAGAATAGGCAATTTCAGAGAGAAAGAAAATAGAATGTTAGTTGTCACAGGCAGGAGAGAAGAGAAAAATGCAGAATTATTGTTTAATTGGTATGTAGTTTGAGAACACAAAAGTTCTGGAGTTGGATGATGATAAAGTTGTACAATAATGTCAATGTACTTAATGAACTGTACACTTAATAAATTCTACCCATCCTTCTGATCAAGGATTTAATTAGCTACTAAGCTGTGATCAACAGAAAGAAACTTTAGTTAATGCAACCCACCATATACTATACAAACCTGCCTTTTGCGTGTGTGTGTGGTGCTGAAGATTAAACCCAGGGCTCTGTGCACACCAGCCAAACACTCTACCATTGAGCTAAATCCCTGGGCCCCTAAACCTGGACCTTTGCTTTTTTCTTTCTCTCTTTCTTTCTTTCCTTTCCTTCCTTCCTTCCTCTCTCTTTCTCTCTCTCTCTGTCTCTCTCTCTCTTTTTTTTTGGTACTGGGGATCAAACTCAGGACCTTGTGCTTGTGAGGCAGGCAGTGGAACCACTGAGCTAAATCCCCGGCCCAAAACTGGACCTTTTCATCTAGTCTATGAAGAGAACCCATATTTCTATCACAGATGACAACAGACGAACTACTATAATGGTATAAATGCAAAATGTGTGCTGATTTCTATTTTTGAAGGTAAATTTATGTATTTTTTATTTTTATTTTTAAGAGGCTTGCCATTGCATTTTTAACACATTCTTTTTCAAGGGACTTTCTCATCACTGTAGAGTTCATTACAGCATTATAGTAATAGAATGACATTCTTTTCACAGCAAGGATTTGGATGAATGTGTTTTTGTGTATCCATACAGTGAGAAACTAGGGAGGCTGTAAAATGAGCAAAGTAGACCTCTATGTATGGATAATGAATATGAACACAAATCAAGGGACAGGTGTGTATCACACATATATATGTATACATATATATAAAAAAATATTTATAGAAAATAACTTCATATCTATTCATCATAATAAGTGATTTTTATCTATGGAGTAGAAATAGAGGAAGGCAGATGTTATAGGCTACTTTAATTTTTCCAAGGCACAGCTGTTTCTCCTGCAATAAAACAGTGATAATTTGGGGATTTTTAGAGGATCAGCTTTGACTTATTCTTACCTGACTTTATTCCATTAGCTTTTTTTTTTTTTTTTCAGATTTTATAGAATTTAAAAGGATATAGAAAGCATATTACAAAAATATTTTTTGAAATAAATTTGACAACTTCTAAGAAGTACCTTGGAAGACAAATTAATGAAACTAACTATGGAGGAAATATAAAATTTGAATAGCACCTATTAAAGAAAGTATATTCCTAGCTTGAAAACCTATATGACAACAGCAGGCTCATATACATTTTAACTGATAAATTATATCAAACATTTAAAGCAGAAAAAAGAAGGAACACTTCTCCCCTCGTTTTAGGAAATCAACATTGTGCTAATACTAAAACTGGATAAAGATAACAGAAGAAAAAAGTATGAACGTAGATAGAAATTTGTTTAACAAAACAATTAGAAGTCAGATCGGGCAGTATGTAAAAAGTGGTTTTATTATAGGGATGGCAGTGTTGGTTTAGCACTGGAAGAGCCACCCCCATAAGTCATCATTTTAACAGAGGAAAGGAAAAAGCCATACGATCCTGTCACTAGTTGGAGAAAAAGTATTGCACTAAATTCTATAGCTGTTCATGGTAAAAGCTATCAGGAGACTAGAAGCAGAACAGAACCTTCTCAACAGATCAAAGACATGTACTCCATACTTTCAGCAAAAACACCTTATATAAATGGAGAAGATACAGTGCTTCTGAAGGTAAATTTAAAGCCAGCCACACAAACAAGCAGTATATTAAATTTAGCAAATTAATCCTGATGCTAACCAACCTTTGTGTGTCTTCCATTTCCTTCACTAGACGCTCCAAAGTATTTGTGTAAGTGCCACTATGAACATGCTCCTAAAAGAAGAAAATTCAGAATATTTTACGACATATCTTAGCAGAAAAAGTAGGGTGTTTTCATTCATTCAGAGTACTAGTAACTACTTCCTATTTCAATAACCTGGGCTAGTATGACACTTTTCTTAAAGAGGAATTTACACCATCATGCTTTTTTTTTTGGTACCGGGGATCGAACTCAGGACCTTGCGCTTGTGCGGCAGATGCCGGAACCACTGAGCTAAATCCCCGGCCCACCATCATGCTTTTAATCCAGTATTTTGTATTGCAGGCAATTTGGTTTTACTGTTAAGAAAGGTTCTCCTTATAGAACTCTGCTAGCTTTAGGATCTGATTCCAAACACCCAAGAGCTCTGTGGCGACCCTTTCTTTAGTTCTGAGTTCTAGTTTAGTGGATTCAAACTAGTAACTTTTAGGTGTTACCATGAAATACTAACATCTTCCCCACCAAATTTTAAAATTAAAATTTAATTCAGCTTATTCCCAAGAAAGAATGAAGCACTCTATAAATAAAATTGCACACCACAATTAACAACATTTCTACACTCTACCTTCATTTACAGCAGTGGTCTCCAAAGCAGGGGGTGTGCAAGGTGATCCAATGGGGTGCAGGAAGAAAATAATAGAACTTCTATTTATATGGAACTTCTATAGAAACTCCAGTAGAACTTAGTCTATAGTAACTTCTATAGGAAAACACTCATTTTCTTCTTTTCCCTTTTATATCCTGGTTTTTGCATATGCTTTAGAAAGTACATAGTATTAGAGTGGTACATGTATATACATCTACAAATACACATACAAATTGGGGGACATGCTGAAAAATTTTTAAAACTTAGAATGTGTGTGTGATCAAGAAAGTTTGGAGACCACTGATTTACAGTAATAAAAACTAAAGATATGGGAAATTAATTTACCCACCAAGAATTATACTAATTTTCATCCTAATTATGGGTTGTAAAAAATACTGAATTTTAAAATAAAACTTAACAATCTATCCTTTTTCACTAATCCATCTTTTTCCTCAAGTAAACATAAATGTTACAAAATTACTTACTTTGTAGTCTGGTGACTGAGAAGGAAGCCCCTTCGAAAGAGCAGGAGGCTTTGCTGAAGTTGTAGGAGTCTGACTGAAGTTCAAGGCCATTATTTCTGCCAGTGATTCTAATGGTTCTTCTTCCTCATCACTGTCTAGGTTGTAACCTAAACTTTCTTCATCACTATCAAAATCACCCCTTAATTTTCTTTTCAGTGCATTGCTACCTGCACTGGAATTTCCTGAACTCTCCTTATCGGAAGGGGCTTTATCTGGAGGTGCTGTAGGGCTTGGGTTACATGGCACAACTTCCAGAGAAGTCTTGGTAGAAGTGCCATATTCTGCACACAAAGAGCCCTCAGAAATTTTCCCTGAAGGCGTATTAGAATCAGTCTTATTAGTCTTTGCTTTGTGTTCTCTGTGCTTGGAGGATACTGCTGAAGGCCCAGAACAATCTTTAGATGAGGAACGCTCTTTCTCTTTCTCAGGACCTGGGAGAGCGCAATTTTGAGCGTTTAATGGCACCTGAGAGGAACCAGCACTGGGAACACGGTTAAGTAAAGGCAGAGGCTTTGTCTCTTTCAACGTCTCGGAGCTAGCACTTTTCGTTTTCTGAGGGGTGCTAGCTTTTTTACTTGTAGACTTTTCCTGAGGTAAAGACAGATGGGGTTTTTGTATCTTAGTCTCTTTGGTACTTGCCGCACGGATTTGGTCACTATTCCTGGGAGAATGGTGGCCAGAATTTGAAGGTGCCAAGCCTGTAGAGGAGCAACCAATTTTATCACTCGTTTCCATGGATATATCCTCTAAACGCAGCACATCACCAGGTGTCTTCAGTGCAATATGTCTTATGAATTTTTCTTTCTGTTGTGATCCATCAGGACGCTTCTCAAGGAAAGGCTCTTTTGCTTTTGGTATCATAGATTCTCTTGTGCTTTTGAGATCTGAGTCCACAGAGTTCCTTTTTCTTTTGTCAGAGAATTTATTCTGCTTAGAGCCTGGTAAAATTCAATTTTTGTCAGATTAGTGAAAAGTACACAGTCTTATCTGAGTAAAGCTTATTCACTGAGTGTCTAGAACACCCTTACAAAATAATCAAATTCTGAAAGTTTTAGATTGAAATTATTCATAACATTTGGAATGAATAAAGAGAATAGTCATTTATCTCCCAAATTATAAAGAGGTGTCCAAGAAATTTAAAGCTAATGATAAATGCTCATTTTCCATTCTAAATCTATTAAAAGTGTACCACCTTAATAGAATTAAAAGTATCATTCCGTAAAATATAAACAACCACATATTTGCACCAATGAAATGATTCCAAAGGTATTTCCCCTCAAAATAAAATTAAGCTCAGGACTACCTAGTTCCAGAAATTTAACACTTCCACATCTAAAAATATAGTATCTTCAAACACATATAGTATAAGTAGATGAAAGTAAATTTTAATTTATTAAAAATAAATGCACCTGGGCCGGGGATTTAGCTCAGTGGTTTCACCGCCTGTCTTGCAAGCGCAAGGATCAGAGTTCGATCCCCAGTCACCTACCAGGATCTCGTATGCCGTCTTCAAAAAAAAAAAAAAAAAAAAATATGCACTCATTATATAATTATAATTAATCCTTTCCATGCATGTACTTCCACTGTCTTCAGCTATGCTATGGGCTGTGTACCCTAAAAATGATATGCACAAATTCTGACCCCTATACCACAGAATATAACCTCAATTGGGAACTGGGTCTTTACAGACATGACTGAATTAAACTGAGGTCTTAGGGCTGGGGATTTAGCTCAGTGGTTTTGCCGCCTGCTGCGTAAGCGCAAAGACCCAAGTTTGATCCCCGGTACCAAAAGATAAATAAATAAATAAACTGTCTGTCCCAATGCAGAATGAGTGGTGTCCTTATACATAGGGGAAATATGGACACACACAGACATGCAGGGGGAGATAACAGTAAAGATACCTAAGGGAAAGATTCCATGTGATGGAAATGATACAGCTACAAGTAAAGGAATTCCAAGCATCTCAGGCCAACACCAGAACTGGAGAGTTAAAGGATTCTTCCTGGAGTTGTCACAGGCAGCACAGCCCTACAGACACTCTATGACTTTGGATTTCTAGCTTCCCGAACTGCAAGGCAGTGATTTCTGTTGCAATGTTAGAACTCTGCTGCAGTAGCCCTAGGAATCCAATGTTGGGACAGGCCCTGGCCCTTTACAGAGGTTGGAAAGTGCAGGCTCTGGTGACTATAAGCAGCAAGCAAGCGAGCAGTTTTCAAGTGGCTTTGTGGTTTGAATTTTTCTTTTTGGTACCCAGGATTGAACTTGGGACATTGTGCTTGCCAAGGCAAGCGCCGGAACCACTGAGCTAAATCCCCAGCCCCAGCTTTGTGGTTTGAAGCTGACAGTCTGTGGTTCTGACACCTGGCCCTGTGTAGGCAGCACTGTCCCCTCCTAGTAGAGGTTGCCATCCCTACCCAAACTCCGTTATCAGCCCACAAGACCAAACCCCTAGCAACAAGCCCAATATCCAGTCAACCAAGAATCGACGGGGGTGGGGGGGTAGGGGGTGTAGAGACAGCACCACCGCCCCAGATTCAGTGGTGTCTCAATTCTGAGCACCTCCATTCCTTCCCCAGAGTGGCTTTGTATTGCTCCCTGAAATACCTACAACAAAATCACTTCCCCTTTGCCCTAGTCTTCTGGCTCCTCCTCCTCTTTCTCCATCATAGAGACAAGCCTAGTGAGGGTGAGTCTGGGGACCCCTAGATCCCAGACCCATCAGACGTAACACTAAGAGAAGCTGCCTTTATTTATTAGTAACTATACTCAGATATACTTCAAGCATCTATATTTGCATTAACCAGTTTTTGTTTTTGTTTTTTTTTGGTACCAGGGCTCTAACTCAGATTCTTGCACTTGCAAGGCAGGTGCGGTGCCACTCAGCTAAATCTCCAGCCCCTGCATTAACCAGTTTTAAAAAATTCATATTGTGGGGCCAGGTATTTAGCTCAGTGGTTCTGGTGCCTGCCTCGCAAGCACAAGGTCCCCAGTTCGATCCTTGGTACCAAAAAAAAAAATTTATATTGTGCTTGAAAGTATTATTTCATTGATTCAAATTCAGTAGACCTATGGGTACAGTTCAGTGGTACTCAGGGGCAGAGCACTTGCCTGGCACGTGTGAGGATGTTGGTTCCAACCCCAGGACTGAGTAAAAACAATAACGAAGATACAATGCACACAATCCCCCACGAAGATACAATGCACACAATCCCCACAAAACATTATGCGGTTATTCAAAGTAAAAAGGATTATCTTACAGATGTCCTTGGAATGTTATAAAAACAGGCACGTTTGTATCTGATATACTAGGAAAAACTGTTTTGGATCATGATGAACAGTTTCATACAAAGAATCTTCAATATAACAAGATCTCAATTCCAAGAATTTAACATTATGAATTGTTGATGTAGCCAAAGAGTCAGAAGGAGAACACTGAATATCAATATGAGAAACACACTGTAAGAAGCTCTTGAAGGCAGAAAAAAAGTCAAGACAAACCACAGCTTATGCATACTAAACTCAGGGACTATTCTTTATGGTCTTACTCTTAAACAATTCATGTCTAGAAAAGAAGTGCATATCTAAAAAAAGTTGTTTCAAAAAGCAGTGCCATTAAGATGCAAATCTATTTAGAAATTCATAAATTTAATTTTGATTCTACCTGAAGCAGGTTCCCATGAATCAGAACAGGATCTCTTTCTCGAAAGATGTCCATTTTCCTATTAGGAAAGAGAAAAAAAGAATTTCAAGCTGCAAAGATGTGAACTTTTCTTCATTAATATTTAAACAGATTTCTACACTGAATAATAAAATCACCTATGTTAAGAGATAAAGACTAAATTCTAAAATAAAACATTTGAAGATCTTAAGTTTTAAAATGAAGGAGGCAAGCATGGTAGTACATGGTTGTAAGCCCAGCTGCTCAGGAATGAGGCAAGTTTGAAGCTACCTCGGGCAACTTAGGGAAATCTTGTCCCAAAATTTTAAAAAAGGGGCTGGGGACGTAGCTCGGTTCTCTCTGGACTCAATCTCCAGTACTGCAAATAAATAAAATAAAAGGCATGGATTGGGGGTGTAGTTTAGCAGCAGAGCACTTACCTAGCAAGCACAAAGCCCTGGGGTTCAATCCCTAGCAATGCCTGTGCATACACACACACATGCGCGCACGCGCGCACACACACACACACACACACACACACAGACATCTGTACCATTAAAAAGTAAACATCAAGTCAGTTTTTATAATGCTAATTTAGGGACTTACATTAATAACTAAAAGATGATACAACTTGAACTCTTCAGTACCTGTTTAAGGGCTGATGCATCACCAAACACTGAAATCTTACAAAAACAAACCAAATATTACTTCTATTTAATTAATTAATTAATTAATTAATTTCAGGTACCAGGTATCAAACAGGACCTTGAGCTTGCAAGGCAGGAGCAGTGCCACTGAGCTAAATCCCCAGCCCGACTAACTTCTACTTACCATTAGCAAATCTCACTGTAAAGGCATCAAAGTTCTTATAAATAAGCCTTAGGAACTACATCTTCCAATAATATACAATGCTACAATCTACCCACTCCTAGAATGTCTTAACTTGGCTTATTTTGGTCAACCTAGTTTTAAAATTTCAGAGCACTCTCTTGACATATGACCTTCCTTTATTTGCTCTGACTTTCCACGGTAGAGGGACAACTTTTATGTTAAGTTCAGTTTGTTTTTGTTTGGGTTTTTTTGGTACCAGAGATCGAACTCGGGTCCTTGCACTTGCGCAGCAGGCAGTGAAACCACTGAGCTAAATCCCCGGCCAGTTCAGTGTGTTTTTAAAAAAATTTGATGTGGTTAAGATGTGTTTGGACAGTCTCTTAAGACCTATAATCAATTATTTAAGATCTCTATATAATCTAAGCCAGTAATTCTCAAGCTTTCACGTATATCAGTAGCAGACTGCTGGGCTCTACCTCCACTAGCTCTGATTCTGTGCATCTGAGGTGGGATCTGAGACATAATTCTGGCAAGCCCCTATTCTAAAATATTTCCTGCTCTTTTCAATTTTCCATTCCTCAAGTATCTCCCTTCAGCAGATCATAACCTAAAAATGACTATACTTGCCTCAAAGAACAAATGTTTACTTTCCTGATTAAACAAGATTTTTATCCCGGTATGAAAAAATTAGGAGCAAAAAATCCTACTTCACTGAATTAATAGAGGGATGTCAGAAGAAGCCTAATGAGACCATGTTCAAATTGCAAATTCCCTTAAATATATCAATGTGATGTGACAATTATTGTATATTTTTAGATTGTTCCAAATGATACAGTACAGGCAAAGCTAATTAAGTAATTATTGCACATACCAAGTTTGAAAGATTACTTTTTCCAGGTATATCACTCTGTTTACTATGTTCCTGCCTTGGTTTACATTTTCTTCTTGGACTGGCAGATTTTAAAGAAAGATTACTCGCTTCTGAGAAGGAATTTTCTGAGTTGATTTTCTGCTTCATTTGCTCCTTTCTCAACTTCTTTAATTCTCGTTCTTTGCAATATGAAGCTAGCGACCTCTGAAAACTAGTAGTTCCCAGTGGGCTTTCTCCCGGGTGATGCCTGGAAAGACTGCTCCTGCTACTAAGACTTGCAGAGCTGCTCTTGAAGATGTCAGCTTCTGTCACCATGGTTGGCTTTCTGGAGTCCGCATTAGTCTTTCCTCCATCTCCATCATTTTTCTCCCTGCTATTTTCATGAATAAACAGTGACTTCTTTCTCTCTGGAGACCGATGTTTTTTCTTCAGGGCCTTCATTTCTTTAGACAAATAATATGAATGAGAAACACTGAAATTTGTTCCTTTTGAAAAATATTCAGAGACCAGTGACACATAAGGCCGACGGGACTTGTGTACACCACGATCTTTATGCTGCTCTTTAACACCTTTCATCAAAGATTCTATAATAGGGCTTTTTCCCGATGGCATTCTTTTGGGTTTAGATTTTTTTGGTGAGGATAGTTTCCTTTGAAACTGCTCTGTCCCCGTGATGGATAATCCACTTCCTCCATATTTGATGTTTGTTTTTTGTGGCGAATCCAACATATGTCTCTCTAAATAGCCAATTAAAACATACAAATTGCATGTTATTAAAAGTAACACAAACTTACGTCTTACATTAATATTGATCATTACTAAAATACAAAACTATATTAAAGCCATCACAGAAATTTTCAAAGCAAAATACATGGGTAATGATACACATACTTTTTTGAAGGGTAAGAGAAATTAAGACATAGCTTACTTACTAACAGTCTTACATAAATCTCCCTTTTGCTATAGTACATTATGTCCCTATACCTCTTAAGTTACTGTATTAAGAGAATCAAAACACTATGCCTTAAGGGCTGGGAATTTAGCTCAGTGGTTCCGCTGCCTGCCTCACAAGTGCAAGGTTCTGAGTTCAATTCCCGATATCAAAAAAACCAAAAACCAAAACAAAACACTATGCATTATATGCCAGGCTTAGGCAGGAGGACTGCCATGACCTTGAGGCCACCTTGAACTTCACAGTGAGCTCAAGACCAGCCCAGGTTACATAACAAGATCTTGTCTCAAGAAAAAACAAAACACACAAAACTGCACTATAAACATCATGGACTGGAATATTTTAAGTGTGAACACATAACAGCAAAAAGACTATATGTAGAACTCGTTTATAAAAAACCCACTGCGGGGCCGGGGATTTAGCTCAGTGGTGCCACTGCCTGCCCCGCAAACACAAAGTCCTGAGTTCAATCCCCAGTACCAAAAAAACCCCCCAAACCATTTACATCTTCATTAAAACCCTGGATTTTCAATTGTGAAGTTTAATCAATAAAAAGTTTCAAAGTTGAATCCATCTCCCTTCTCACCTCCAAAATAATACAAAAAATGTATTAATATAGGCATACCTTGTTTTGAAGCCGGTTTGAAGAAATCTATAATTGACTGCTTCCTGAAAATAAAAGCATAACTAATATGGGATCATATAAGCAAATAAAATCTCAATAATTTAGACTAAATGGGGAATATTACATTTATAAAATACAGGCTAGAACTCATCTGGCTTAACTAAGTTCCAATAATGGCAACGACTTTGGTATGCTACAAAAATTGAAAATGATGAATGATTTTCTGTAGTTTATAAAAATACAAGTGAAATTTATATAATCTATAGTACTAAAATGGTAAGAATGGAGTGTGGATTCGGGGAATTGGTGCAGAATGCTATTTAATACTGAAACATAGCTACATGGTAGAATGAAGGATCTCAGAGATAGGCATTAATTTTGTTTGTTAATATCGCCAGTGACTGGTATAAAATGGAGATTGTAAAAAATGGAGTAAAGCCTGAACAGGCCCTGATAACAACAGTACAGCAGATGGTAGAATGACAATATGAGTGATTTGGCTGATCTTGGGAGGCAGCTGAAGGTGCTGGGCAGAGTACTACCCTCTATACTTTAGGGTAAGTTGTTGGTCTAAGTAACAGCAAAAATTGGCGTGGACCCAGGGATTTAGCTCAGTGCTTCTGCCGCCTGCCTCACAAGCAGAAGGTTCCAAGTTCGATCTCCGGTACCAAAAGAAAAAAAACTGGTGTAAGTCTTCACATCTAGTGTTTTAATTTTTCATTTTTGGGCTTTTTTGACAGGGTTTTGCTGTGAAGATCAGGTTTGCCTCAACCTTATGGCAATCCTCCTGCCTCAGCCTCCCAAAGGATGACAGGCATGCACCACCATGCTCACCTTAAAATTTTAACGTTATCTTAAGAATCCATAAGATATTCACAAAAATAACATATTGCCTAGGAAAACCACAAAAAAAGGAGATATGGAAGTTAGTTAATCTAAGTTAAAATAAAAGGTTAATGACTCTTATTAAAAGATTTTAGTTCCCTCAACTGGGCACAAAATGAAATAGGATCACATTACCAGAACTTGTATTCTGATATTTTTCACGTGTTCAGTTGTCAGTCACAAGAGGAGGATGTCATATGGAGAAGAAAAAATTAATTTTCCGGCAAATTTGGTGAAAATGTATTGTTTTTGTTGAAAGAGAAACTAGTGGTTTCTCTAAACATTTATCCATCTTGAGGCTGGAGTACTCAGTGAAAACCTTAACAACCCAAATCCAAGATTAAGGCCTTTCCTACATCGAGTACACTTTAGTCACATTTGAAGAGCAGTGCATAGGTTTAATGACAGTCCATCATGTTTGTTTTGACATGTTGGTAGATAATCTAAGTGATAATGAGATGAATATGAACAACAGGTGACAGTGGAATATATGCATTTGTTTACAAAAAAATAAATTACATTAGCAAAATTATACCAGTTAAGGAAGAAATACTGAAGGGTCTGTATGATGCCTTGTTACTGGTGAAGGAGGTGCAACTAATTCAAAGCAAGATTATGTTTTTATGTTAATTATTGAATGTAACACTCTATGTCTTCTCTAAAGTATTAGCTCTCAGGCTCCTTTGCATTTAATATATCAGAAAAAAAATGGCTTTGGGTAAAACACACAAGAGACCTGTAAAAATAACCACAGGTGTAACTTTCAAGTGTTATTTCTTCCCTAAATTCACATGCACAGAAATGTCTATTCCTTATTTATAACTGGTTAAGAATACCAATCATACAGCTTCACAAACCCTTATCTGAAACTTCTGGGGCCAAATGTGCATTAGAATTCTTAATTTACTGGATTTTAAAAAGGGAATAATTTAAATATATTATGTAAAGCCCCCAGTGGAGTCTGATGCCACAAGATGTAATCAAACCCATCACTATTCTCCAGCAAACATTCACACTTAATGGAATAAAAACTATACACAGCCTTACATTAGTTCTGGTCAGGTTGGCTGCCAAGTAAGACGTGACGGTAAACTTACTGAAGTAAATTTGGCTTTCATAACTTTCTGACTTTCACGATTAAGATAAGGGATTGTGGACCTGCACCACCATGAACATACATTTACTGTTAAGCTTGTTACAAGCTTTTGAACTTAAAAGTAAAAAAGACAGTACCAAGTTCATAGGGAATGTAAACATGTTTTATTGTCAGAGGATGTCATTTGATCAAATTCCCCATCTTTACACAGCTCCCACAAAATCTATACAAAAATCTGACCTCTTGGAGAGGTATAGTTATTGGAAGAGGAAACAATCACATTTCAAATCTGTATGTCCTTCTAAGTGATGAATTATCGTGCACACTGGACTACAAATCCGTAGTTTTCCTCACTTCTTACGTAATTTCAACCACAGTACTGAAAAGGTTCTCACTGCTACCCACCAGGATCAGACCTGCCAACTGCAGAAGATCACCTAAACATGCGTCAACAGTTAGGGCCCCGGGTCCAGCTTTCCAGGACAACCTCGTCCCGGACGGACGGACGGACGGACGGGCAGGCCGCAGCCCCGCGCGACCAGACCGCGGGACCCCAGGCCGCGCTCCCGTTAGCCCCCGCGCGGGGGCGGGGCGAGCGGCCCGGAAGCCAGGCCGGCCTTCGCAGTGGACGGCGGGAGCCTGAGCGGCGTCCGCGGCCTCCCTCAACCCTGCCCCGCGGCCCAGCCCCTTCTCCAGCCCTCTGCACGGTACCTGTCCCCAGGACTCTTTGCTGTCTTTCCCGCAGCGGCAGGGGCGGTACCATCGGGTCTCAGATGGCAGCGCGGGGGCGACGACCCCGGGGCTGGGGACGAGGGGAAACCTGGCCTAGCGGGCATGCAGCGCCTTGTCATGTCGGCGCCGCTGGCGACGGCGGCATGAGCTGTGGACGGAGAGCGTGGGTGCGTGGTTGCCGTCGTGCCGCTGGGACTCGGGGACGCTGTCGGAGCAGAGGTGGGCGGCACCCGCTTCTCTCTTCATGGCGGTTCTCTCGCTTCGGAAGTGACCGGAGCGAGCGGGAAGGACCGAGAGCCCAGAGGGGCGGGCCTCACTGGAGTACTCGCGCTCTGGTTGGCTGGCACTGGAGTCATTCTGGCGGCAGCGCAATAAGAAGCCGTAACCTCTCCGGAGGAGGTGGTTGTCAGGAAGGGGGAGGCGGGAGGAAACCGCCCGCTCCGGCCCGTCACGTGTGCGGAGGCCGATGCGGCCTCGCGGCCGCACCGGACTTCAGCGGCCGGCGCCTGGGCTGTGGTGCCCCCAGTCGAGCTACAGACAGCCCAGTTATTTGTTACATCGGCACTGGTCTGTGCTGTGACCGAGTGCCCAGGAGGTTGTGCAGCCAGTCTGAAACCGGCCGCGAGGGTTTTTTAAGTGCTAGCCGCAGCCATTGTTTTCTTTCAACTTTTAGTTTTCATTAGTACGTATTTGCAGTGGGTACATGATGGTCACATCTTGGTGGGGAGTGGGTATATGTACGTGACACGTCTCAATTCTTTTTTTCCGTCCCCTTTCCCTGCTTCCTCCCTCCATTTGCAAATGATCTCTCTTCCTGTTCACTGCATCTTTTATTTTCGCATCTTAGTTTATATTTCGGTTTCTCATATGAGAGAGACCATGTGATATTTAAGCTTGTATGTCTTGAGTATATTTTAAGAAGGAAAAACCCGACATTGAAATAAAGTTGAACCACAAAAGCATTTTGTTTTTCACGAGTTATCAAGGAAGTTCCCGCAGAAGGCTTCCATGGGGATTTTTATAAAAGGACGCGGAGTCAGCTTATAGTAACCATAGTAAGTGTTGACAGCGTAGACTAGTCCAGTACCAGTTGCCTCCAGCCCTCCTTGGTAAAGGGCTTGTGCTTGGAGTCTGTTAGCCAGGCTTTTCCTTACAAATTGAGAGACTGGCCCGAGTCTATACAATGAGTATATTACTTTTCTGGGAAGTTGTAAACCATAGACGAAATAACATAAACTGGATAGTTCAGATTCTCTCGTGTGTTTGGTACTGATTATTGTTCCCAGACATTCTGGCAGTGAATTTAACTTATCATAAAGTCTTCAGAGACAGGGCAGATACTGTTAAATAACTGTTAATAACCAAGTTGTCAATCTCCAGGATGTCCAAGCTTAAATCGCCAAGGGTGTTCAATGAATTGGATGGAGCAAAATCTTAAATGGCACAAAAGAATTTGGACAGATCTGTCAAATGTACTGTTCTGAGATTGAATTGCGCCTGTCACTAAGCATCCTGGACTGACCTGAAGTTCACCTCCTTTCTCTTCCCTAGTAGCCCTCAGGATGAAGAATTAATGAGGAATGAAGTGACCAACAGGGTGACAAAGGGTAGAAGAGAAACTATGAACATAGAGGGCTGTCGTCATCCACGAAGTTTCCAGGCTAGTTCTAGGCAGTGGTAGTACAAGGAAGGAAATCCTGAAATAAAGGGCACTTTTCAGTTCCTTGGAAATGAGAATTTACTATACTGCTTTTATATGAGCATTGTTCTCTACATAAAATAAGCCAGTGTGATGGGGCACGCCTGTAATCCCAGTGCTTGGAAGGCTGAGGCAGGAGAATTGCTGTGTTCGAGGCCAGTCTGAACTACATAGTGGGACCCTGTCTCAAAAATCAAAATAAAACAAAAAAAAAGGGCCGGGGATTTAGCTCAGTGGTTTCGCCACCTGCTGCACAAGCACAAGGACTGGAGTTCGATCCCCGGTACCAAAAAAAAGAAAAAAATAAACATGATAGTTACTGAAAATGTGTTGAAATGAATAATGGCTTATGTATTTGTTTACTAAGGACTTTCTGTATATATTGTTTTTTTGTCCTTTGACTTAGTGCTTTCTGTTGGCTGTTTCTACACAAGAAAGTTTCTACTTCTGTAACAGCACATCTACAAAACATTTAGCCAGATTCGTTTCATTCCATGCTCTCCATAAAAAGAATAATGCATAAAACATTCTGCATGATCAATTAGTTGCTTTTCTTGGATTATAGTATTTGAATCATCCAGCCTTCCAGGTATCACTTTAAAGTCTGTATTCATGCTACTAAACAATACTATTCGCATTTTCTTAAATCTGAGCAACAGATTATAGGTTAAGTGAGGCAAGAAATCCCTTGATCAATAAATGGAGATGCAGTCATAATGAAAACAATTTTTGAAATCTTTTCTTAACAAGGAAGTAGTTATCTAAATCCTCAGTAAACATCCAGGCTCTTCCGTTGTTTAAACTGTAGGAGAATGACACAGATTTGGTTTGCAGGGTGAGATATGTTTGACCTGCTAACCAGAATGGCCGGTGGCTTCTCAAGCTCTTCCCCAAATACATCTGACCTTTATTTTGTATTTGTACCCCTTCTCCCACCTTAAATGTGCATATATATACCACACACATATGCAACATTACTGTACGGGCTTTTTTCCCTTTTTCTTTGTATGCTTGGGATCATACCCAAGGCTTGGAGTATGCTAGGCATGTTCTCTACCACTGAACTGTCTCTCAGCCCTGTATAAGGGTGTTTTATGTCTTAGTTTATAGTGGGATGGAAATAGATGGCCAGGAAACTACACTAGGTAAGAGATGTTAAAGAGCTCGTGTGTACATGTGGAGAGGGAGAAAAGCGGAGGGGCTGGGGAGAAGAGGATGGTGAGTAATGTAAGCGAGACAGAAGCTTGAACTCTCGGCAAGGATTGGAAAAATGAAATCTGGATGACTGTAAAGGCTAGTCTGGGAAGACTTGAGCAGGGGAATAAGGAAGCAGAAGCTATGGGACTGAAGTGGCTTCCTCCATTGGGCTTTTACAGAGTACAGTTAGCTCCATTTAGCACCTTGGGCTGTGAAAAACAGGACAGGGCTCTGGCCTTGATGGGAAGGGATGGGCAACTGCTGAAACAATGTTACATACACACTAGATGAGATTTGCTGGGAGAATAAAGCTCAAGGTTGGCGCTGAAAGTGGTGTGCTGCCAGAGATCCCCAGCAGTCACAAAGAGGGAAAGTGTCCTGGGCTGACGGCTCACACAGTGCCTTAGAAGGCAGGGAGTGGGAACTGAAAGATCATTACTAAAAAGCTGAGACTGAAAAGTCACTTCAGATTCTCCAGAAACGCATGGTTTTGCTCTGAGATGACTATACCATGGAATTAAGCCCAAGGCCGTTGAAGGGTGACTTCAGGCAAACCAACAAAGACCCGTCTGCTTCAGGGCTGGGTGGGGGCAGGCAGCAAGATTCCCCTTGTGTGCATGGGTGCCTGTGTGACAGTAAACTGGGAAGAATTAGCTTGAAAGCCTGACAGAGAGAAAGGCCACAGAAGTGCTGGAGAAGGGAAGGTGTGTCACAGCAGTTCGAGATCCACACTAGAAACTGCAAACAGATGCTGAACTCAAAACTGCCCAACAAATGCTTGGAAACAGCCCTGACTGTTTCAGGGGCTGCTGGGAAAATGCCAAAAGTAATATAATGTCAAGGAGTCCAGACTTCCTGGAAGTAATTAGTAAAACTGGAGAAACAGATCTGTTGTTTACAAAAGTCAGCTCTTGTTATTTCATTATAGAATGGTGCAAGACAGTTTCCCACAAGTAGACACACAAGAAACATATTTGTGATTTTTGACATACCTGAAGAGCTCCTATATTACTAATATTTTCTATAAGCTACTTTTTAACTTAAATGTTTTTATTTTATTTTATTTTGTTTTGTTTTTTGTCTTGGTACCAGGGATCAAACTTGGGTCCTTGTGCTTGCTCAGCAGGCGTTGGAACCACTGAGCTAAATTCCCAGCCCTGTTTGGGGTTTCTTGAGGCAGCGTCTCCCTTTGTAGTTCAGGCTGACCCTGAACTCACTATGTAGCCCAGGCTGGCCTCGAACTTGCAGCGATCCTCCTGCCTCAGCCTCAGTTGTGGGATCACAGGCATTTGACACCACAACTGGCTCCTCCCATCTTATTTGCAAGCTTTAAGCTTCATTGATGCCAAAATACTGAGCCTCTATGCCAGTCCTGATCAGGTGGCTTCCTGAAATTGGGTGTCTTTTGAAGACATAGAACAACACTTAAAGGAATTTCATGCAAAATTCCAGATTTCCACCTTCAAGTGGTACAAACTGGGGGTCTCCCTCTTATTCCTGCAGGGCTTAGGCAGGTAACATAAGTAAGTGAACCAGACCCATTTTCCTCTTTTAAGAGACTTGGAGTCAAAGAGTATTTCTTAATGCCAGTGAGGTCAGTGACAAACACCGAAACTTACTATGGGTCAGGCACATGGCAGTTTATGAATACTGACCCATTTAATAACCACATTTCTACAAATTAGAAAGTGGCCTTTGTCCAGTGTCCACACAAGCGTGATGATAAATGGCACCTGGTGCTCAGCCCCAGTGTGAGGAAGGTAGGACGGGAAAACTGGAGGCCACATTCCTGATTAAGTGGGGCAGCCTCTCCAGACCACGGTGTCTGTACGAGGGTGTAGGCCTGGCTCCCCTCGCCTCAGCGTCACCCTGGGAGTGGTTGATGAGACACGACAGAACCGCAGTGAACACACACAGCCACTTGGCGTTGTGACACGTAACCTTGACATCATTTATTTCAATAGCATTATGAAATTTCCTACCTCCTCCAGTATTGGGGTTTGAATACAGGGCTTCACACATGCTAAGCAAGTGCTGTACTGCTGAGCTATTTCTCCAGCCTTTTTTATTTTATTTGAGAGAGGGTCTCATTGAGTTGCCTAGTTCAAGGCAAAGTTGCAGTCCTCCTACTCAGCTACTCTTGTAGCTGGGATTACAGGTGTGCCTCATCACACCCAGCCAAGACTATACTCTCTCAAAGCCAGTCTCTTGGAGCCAAAAGAGAAAGAATCGGTGAGTGCTTTATATACCCAGAGGAGAGTTACAGGAAGTTGGCGCTAACCTTTGCCCCATCACCCTCAGCTCCCATGCGTGCTAGTCACCAAGTTGTACTGATTTTGTACCCCAGGTAGCACAATAGCACCTGTTTCTTTCTTCTGTTTTACACAAACACACACACACACACACTTTCTTGGGGGTTTTTTTGTTACCAGGGATGGAACTCAGTCCTTGCGCTTGAGAGACAGGTGGCAGAACCACTGAGCTAAATCCGTGGCCCACACTCTTATTTGATTCCTTTTAGAAATGTAAAACATATAAATGAATACAAAGAATAACATTATAATCACTTTTCGGCCTTTTGGCTAAGATCAAGTGAAGAATAATATTATAAATGCATTCACCTCTTAAACTCAGACAGTTAACCTGTAATCTAGTACCTTTTATGTCTAATATAACATTGCTAATCTTTTAAACTCACCCCCAGTTGAATTCCTCTTTTCTACTATTTTCAAGTCTACTAAAAAATTTTCACATACACATCTATTTAGTAGGATTTTTTGCATGTTTTTAAAAATGTGCATACATGCACATTTTATTTCTGTGTGCAGTTAATATGCAGCATTTTATTTGCCCATTAGAAACAGTACTGTCCTGGACACCGCTGTACATGCTTTTTTGTGTCCATGTGCAACAACGTCTATGGGTTATATAATCAGAAGGGAAATTACTGGGTCATAGGGTGTCTGCATTACCAAGTTTATTGTATGCTGCCAAATTGCTTTCTATAAATGACGGAAATAATTTACAGTCCTACTAGCAGTGTATGAGAGCATTGCTTCCTTACGTCTGCTCCTATATTAGACATTGCCATCCTTTTTTGTTTTTGCTAATCTGAAAGTAAGAATAGATTATCAGTGTTTTATATTCATTCAGTTGTTAGGTTGAACACTCATACATTTTAGGAGGCTTCTTTGGATTCTATTTATTTTACTTTTTTGGTACTGGGGATCAAACTCAGGTCCTTGGGCTTGCACCGCAGGCGGCAAAACCACTGAGCTAAATCCCCAGCCCAGCTTCTTTGGATTCTAATTGCCTATTTCTAGATTTCACTCATTTTTTCTAAATTTTTGTATTTATTTTTTGTTTATATTTTTCTTATTGGTTTGTAGACTCTAGAAAAATACATATATTGAATACTCAAAAATCCTGCCTGTACCTCAGGCCAGCCTGATACAGGCCCTGGTCAGCCCTTGCAAAGTCTCCTGCAGTGGCTTCCAAACTGGTCTCCTTGCCTGAAATTTTGCTCTTCTTTAATTCATCATTTGTAGTCCATCCAGTGAACCTGAGATCATTCTTTGGCTTTGAAAGGCCCTGGCTAAGCCGTTCTAAGCTCCCTCCACCCCAGTCCTCTCTAGGCCACTCACCAAATCCTCCTTTCCTCACTTCTCTTCACTCAGGCTGAGGTCTCAGTGTGCGGTAAACGCAAACGATTTGTGCCAAGAATCCCCTAAAATCCAGGTTCCAGCATTGGGGCCTCATGTGCTCCTTACCATAATGTTCTCTTTCTGTGCTCAAAATTCTTACTTTGCATTCTTCTTTATGAATAGAGCAGAAACCAGCTTTTCCTGGGCAGTCAGGAGCAGGAAAATGTGCTTTGTTTTTGTTTTGTAGAGCATAGCCTAGAAATGCCACGCCTGGTTTTCCAGAGGCCCTTCAGATCACAAATGAAAAATTGAGAAGTGGACAGGTGTGAAAGTCAAGGGATCAGCCTCAGGGATTCTGGGTGTCTCTGATTCAGCAGAACAAATGGCGAATCAACAGGTGTCCACAGGTGTACCAACCCATAAGGCACTCAGACCCCAAGCTCATTTTGGGGTTGAATTTCGCCATGAAATCTGCCCATTCTGTGTGCAGCCCCCGCCTTGGGAAGTTTTGTGCATTCTGGTGGCCTGATGTTACAGGGTACATGTGACTCACCCAGGACTAGCTGGCTTTAGGACTTGGAGTTCTGACATTTTCAGGTTGTTTATTAGAACATTACAGCCTACCTATTTGCATAATAATTTTTATTTTTATTTTTTGGGGTACCGGGGATCTAACTTGGGACCTTCTGCTTGTGAGGCAGGCGGCAGAACCACTGAGCTAAATCCCCAGCCCTGCATAATAATTTTTAAAAGCAAATGCTCAGGATGACCACTACTGACAGGACAGTAACCTATGGAATGAGGGTGGCAGTTTAGGATCCTTAGAGTCACGAAGAGTTTTTTTTTGGTATCAGGAACTGAACTCAGGACCTTGCGCTTGCAAGGTTGGTGCAGTGCCACTGGGCTAACTCCCCAGGAACAAAGAGTTTTCTTCAAATAAGACTTAGAGGCCAGGGAAGAAGGTATATCATGGAAGAAAGAATCAATCTGACTTCTCTAATATTGGAATTAGACATAACATTGGAGAACTTTGGAAAGTAGGCTTTTCGTATACTATTTCATAAGGTAGGCAGGAGCCAAGGCAAAGACTACTGAAGTAAAAACTTTTAAGTTTTGCTGTAATTTTTTTTGGTACTGGGGATCGAACTCGGGCCCTTGTGCTTGCGAGGCAGGCGGCGGCACCACTGAACTAAATCCCCGGCCCCAAAACTTTTAAGTTTTGTACCACACCACATTTGTTCTTATTGCATCTCCCTGTTTGTATCTTGGAGTGATGGCAGGAAACAAACCAAAATGTCCTGTGTGCCGGTCATCAGGAGCATTAATACGGCAGGGAGCTTGGGAGTGACAGGCTTGTTCTTAGCCAGGCTTAAAGGACAGGACCCCAGAGGACACAGTAGCCTCCAAAGGCGTGGAAGAAGGCTGATGCCTTGGACATAGAAGGAAGAGGAGGGCTGTGGGTGGAGTGCACAGTGGAGGCAGCAGCAGCAAATTCACATCTGCGTGAAGGCTGCTCACAGCATTGTCTGTAGTAGCCAAGCTGGAAACAAGCCAACTGTTCACCAAAAAGGGAATTTTTCCCCCCCAAGATGGTCTTGTTTTGTAGTTCAGGCTGGTCTTTAATTCACTGTGTAGCCCAGGCTGGCCTCAAACTCACAGTGATCCTCCTGCTTCAGCCTCCTGAGTGCTGGGATTATAGGTGTGTGCCACCACACTTGGCCAAAAAGGGATTGTTAAATAAATTGTGGAACACATTTATCATGGAACACCATGTAACAGTAAAGAATGGAGAGGATTTTAATGTGCTGATATGGAAACATATGGAGTTGTATTAAATGAAAAAAGCAAAGTAGGGCTGGGGATTTAGCTCAATGGTTCTGGCTCCTGCCTCGCAAGCATAAGGTCCCGAGTTTGATCCCTGGTACCAAAAAAAAAAAAAAAAAGAAAAAGAAAAAAGCAAAGTACACAAAATTGTGCATCTAGTGAAATCCCATTTCTATGTGGGGTTTTCTTTTTAAGGGTAGGCACGGAGTATTTACTTATGTATTATTCTTGCAACAGGTACATAGACAATGTCTGGAAGGAAACCACAAACGTTCCTTGACTTAATGATGGAGCTACAGCCAATAAACCCATCCTAAGTTGAAAACATCATTAGGTGGAAAATGCATTTAGTGCACTGAGTCTACTAAACATTGCAGCCTAACAACACAGTCACTTAGGGTTGGCTGCTTCCCCTTCATGGCTGCTGAGGAGCTGCATCTGCCCCAGGCATCCATTAGGAAGTCCCGAACGGCATATTGTGAATGCAGGGGAAAAACTGAGAGTGCGGTTTCTATTGAATGTGTATTGCTTTCACAACATCAGTAAAGTGGGAAAACCGGTTAGTGGACCCATCCTGAGTCAGGGGGCCTGGTACATGGAGCTGCACATTGGCCCAGGTTGGGGACTTTGGGGACACATCAGAGAATTACTACAGTCAATGTTTTAATCTGTTATTTGGCTTCAAAGTTTTAAAAACCATTTGTTGTTTTAAATATAAATAAATGTATATAGATTTTTTTGGTAAAAGCCGTTAAAGGTTTCAGTAAGTATTTATAATAAAGTTGGCCCTCCATATCAGTGAATTCAGTCAACTGTAGATTGAAAATATGTGGGGAAAATGGTGCCTGTATTGAACATGTACATAATTTTTTGTCATTATTCCCTGAACATACGATGTAACAACTATTAACATAGCATTTATGTTGTATGAGGCATTATAATAATCACAGTATACAGAAGGGTGTGTGCAGGTCATACGCAAATACTGCACCTTTTTCTACGGGAGACTTGAGCACCTTGGAATTTGGATTCGTATCTGAGGGAGGTCCTTGAAGCAGTCTCCCGGGGTCCTAAGAAACCACTGTTCTTGGAAATTTGCCTCGCAATGCTGATTCCAAATAGGAATATGGACTTCAATCTTTGTGGAGGATGGTAGGCAAATTACGGCATTAATTTCCATTCTTTTCATACACATGCAGAATATTTACAAAGAATGACCATGTCTTCAGCCATAGCAGCATTTGAGGAGGTGCCAATAAACAGACAGCATACAAATAACATTCTCTGTCCACAATGCAATAAAATGAGTAATCAGTGACAAAAGCATCATATTAAAATAATAGTTAAATAACCAGTTTATGACACAATCTAATTCTAAATTCTTTCACAGAGATAACAAAGGAAAAACTTATAACAGTGAATTCTCTCTGGTTTTTAACCTTCACCCCTAATTATGATGATCACATTCACTGCTTCTGGGTTAGAGTACCTGTGAATAAGTGAATAAGCTAATTTATACCTCACTTCTTTCCATAAAGGTTCAAAGGTAGTTCAGTTGCTTGTGAACTCAATTCTGAATCTGGAGACGCTGCCCCTGCCAGTGGGTGTAATGCTAATTCACTAAAGCCATGACAATTCCTCAGAGATGCTAAGCCTGGCTACAGGCACTGGCATTTGAAGAGCGCTGCTTCCCTCTGAGAGGAACCCATGGTTGCCAGTCTCAGTAATGCTCAGATATTGACACAGACAGATGCCCAAGATATCTTAGATGGAAAAAAGAAAGAAGAAACAAGTTTTAAGACAATTTGTATTGTAACCGTTATTAGATTATCTAATTTGCAAACAGGCATATGCTTGGGGCACCAAAAAGGAAAAAGAAAAATTTTAATATATTATGTATTGTATCCGTTATTAGATTATCTAATTTGCAAACAGGCATATGCTTGGGGCACCAAAAAGGAAAAAGAAAAATTTTAATATATTATTTTAGAAAGTATTAAATAAGTAATTATTACATTAGTTATAATAAAATAATTATTAAAGGAAAAGTAAAAACGTTGACTTTCTTTTATTGTTTAGTATTTTTATTTTAGATTACACATGAGTGAAGTGAGGGATGTGGTTAACCACTTTTAAGCTTAGGGTTGCTTCAGCTCTAAGTGGCCATGATTTTATGATAACTAACTTTGGAAAACTTTACATATGTGTGCATATATATCAAACATTCAGATATGTGGAGAAAACAATCTGGATAAATATACCTCAACTGAAGAATGGGTAGATCTCTGAATGAGAGCGTTTTGATTTCTACGTTGTGTATCTGTGTAACTTGGCGACTTGTTTACAATGCCTATGAGTTAACTTTTTTTAACTGAGAAAACAAGATTAAGATCAAAATAAAACAAAAATGCTGGCAGTGGATAGTTAGGTCCCATCCGGAAATATGACCCATGCGCTGTGCGGCTGAGTGGTCTCACCTCTGCTTTAGGCTACTGAGTTGTCAGATGTAGCGATGAGATCTTCCCTGCCAGGCTGACCTGCACGCGCACCTTGCTTCATGCAGTGCCCTTTGGTTCCTCTGTGCTCCACTGCTGCCACCTGTGACTTCTGGCAACACCCTGCCTGTCCTTCTGGTCCTCCTGGGCTCATTAGGCATTCATTTGACTATTAATATTCCAAACTCTGAGCTAAGTGCATGTGCTTGAAATCTCAGCTACGGGGGACACTGAGACAGGAGGCTTGCTGGAGCCCAGGAGTTTGATGCCAGCCTGGATAACATGGTGAGATACTTATCTAAAAAAAAAAAATTCTAAACTCTGTTTTTTTTTTTTGGTACCGGGGATCGAACTTGGGTCCTTGCGCTTGCGCAGCAGGTGGGGAAACAACTAAGCTAAATCTCTGGCCCTCTAAACTCTGTTTTTATCTTTTCCAGTTTGTCCTGACCCCTGGAACTGACACTACCTCCAAGTCTAATAAAACCCACTTATTTTTCCTATGAAAACAGGCTTCTGGCCATTTTCTTGTGTGATTCAGTAGTTTATGTTAAGGTTCTGAGAGGCTAGGCAAATGTAAAGTTCAGATGTGATCAGTAAAAGATACTGAGCCTGGACAGTTCTGGAACAGTGTGCTGAGATGGCCCTCTCGCTGCGCTGGTCTCTGGCTCCCTTTTCCCAGGGCCGGGCATGCTCAGACTGTGAGAGCAGTCCAGACAGGCACAGACTGGAGAATGTGGCTGTGAGAAAAGGGGAGGGAGAAGACAGGTTACAGCAGCACAAGGCAAAGAGCAGGGTGCAAGAAGGAGGAATGAATCTTCATTCGAGGAGCATCTGGACCTAGAAACGGTCAGAAGGGAGGTGGAGACCTGGGACCTCCAAGGGACACTTGACATGTCAACATTGAAGCAGGGATGCAGAAGCCAGGCTTCATGCAAGTCCCACGCCACTTGGAGGGTAAGGCAGGAGGATCACAAGTTCAAGGCCAGCCTGGACTGTACAGCAAGATTCAGACTAAAAATTTTTAAATAAATCATCTCCTATAAACAAAATTTAAAAGCTCTGAATAGACGTGAGGCAAAGCTAGTCTCTCCAGGGTCAGGATGTTCGTCAGCTTCCTGACAGTCTAGGGATGGAGTGTGGCTCCAGCTGGCATGGGAAGTGGCTTCCAGGGTGAGGGGTCTTGGATGGACTGAAAGGCTTCTCTGGGTAGAGGGTTCATCGGGGGCGGGAGCTTCCCCAAGATACAAGCTTTGGGGGCTAATCCTTGGCTCAGAGGCACACAGAGTACCTGTCTGGCCTGTGTCTTTGTTGGTGTGTGTGATACAGACACGAAAACTCCGTGAGAGAGTGGTCCATGGGGACAACATCCATGCGAGGGGAAGGAGGCCCTCCCGAGGGCAATGGCAACTCAGGAAAGGTCTTGCCTGGTGAACAGCTGGCTACCAAGAAGTGAAGGATAGGAGAGAAAGGGAGAGAGGGGGAGTGGAGCGGAGGGAGCGCCCGGCCAGGCCAGGGCTTGCAGCAACCACAAGGGGAGTCGAGACTGAGACCGGCCTGCAGATGGCCTTGCAGTAACCGTGGGTGGCTTTCTCAGCTGCGTTCTTTGTTTTCCATGCTTGTTTCCATGGTGATTACCAGGAAATCAGTAGCACTGAAAGCTTTAAGGTAAAATGTGTTGGTCTTTGAGGGCAGCAAGACAGGGGGCCCGGGGAGACTGATAAAGCCACCTCCCCAAGAAGAACGGGGCTGGTCCAAGGGCTGTCTGCAGGAGGAGGAGGCTCTGCAGACCTGACAGCCTGGGGCCCAGGAAGGGTGTGGGGTTTAGCTAAGAAAAAGTAGCCTTTTCCTGTGTTTGACTTGCTCCTCTATTGAGGCACCTATTTCACGCCGTCTCAGGGATAACAGATTACCCTCTATTTGCCCTTCTAATTTCAGTGAAGAAAAGAGCAAGACCGTGTCTCCCATGTTCCTGGTTCAGAACTGGTTGTGTATCCAAGATGCGGTCTTCCCTTTTTCTTTTTTTGAGGCCAGATCTTGCTATGTAGTTCAAGCAGGTCTTGAACTCACTATACCCTCAAGCTCTTGGCAGTTCTCCTAGTACTACAGACATGTGCTGCCATGTCTGGCTCCTTTTTTAAAAAATTAAACATAATTTAACTTGTATACATACATGTGTAACATATGAATGTACCCTTCTTGATTATTCTTTTCCTTGGTTCCTCCTTCTGTTTTCAATTCATATAATCATGCAAATAGAATACACACACAAACACAGGCTTTGTCAATGTATATTTTACAAAAACTATGGTTGTCATTCTATACACTTTTCTGACTCTTCCTTTCTTCAACAATACTTGAAATCCACTACGTAGACTTCTATAGGACCATCTTGTGGGTCTCACTGAGTTGCTAAGTTGCCAGGCTGGGGCTGAACTTGCAGATCCTCCTGCCTCAGCCTCTCGGAGTGCTAGGTTGAACCTGGGGCCTCACACATGCTAGGTAAGTGCTCTATCTCTGAGCTACATTCCCAGCCCTGTACTATAATATGGTCAAGGTGTAGGTATGTCGGAGGCCCGACATCCTACAACTTCACATTTCTTCACAATCTGGAGTTCAGTGACATTAGGCAGGTAGCTAGAAAATGGGCATGGTGGGAGTATTTACACCACAGAATCTGCAAACACTAAAAACCAGGACTTTTTCCTGCTTTAACTAGCACACTCCTTGTTCCTTATCAGTAGGTTTAAATTTGTTTCTTTCTTTTTCCAGAACTGGGGAGAAGGGAGAATGACCAGCACAATGAACTATACTGATGTACACACTGCTCCAGTGTACTACACACCATGCACATGCACGAGTGCTTCCTCCCTATGGGATGTGAGAGTGGGATAGATAGGGTCAAAAGAATACATGTTTTAAATTTCTAAAGATGGTGCCAAATTACAAGGGTTGTAGAAATTTACATTCCTACACTTTTTTTTTAGGTACTGGGGATCGAACTCAGGACCTTGGCTTGCGAGGCAGGAGGTGGTGTCAACGAGCTAAATCCCCGGCCCCTAAATTTACATCCCTACAAGCACTGTAAAATCTGTTTTCTCTGCTCACTGTCAGCAATGGAAATTGCTCTCATTTTAATTTCTGCTAGTTTGAAAGATATAAAATAATATCTCATTCTAATTTGCATTTCTCTGAATATTAATAATTTTGAGCTTCTTTTCCTATGCATGTTGATCACTTAAATATGCTCTTTTGTGAGATGGCTTTTGATATTCTTTGCTTATTTTTCAATTGAGTTGCTTTGCTTTTGTCTACTCACAAAAGCTTTTTGTTTGTTGTTGTTTTAATTATCCATCTCTCCTATACAAATCTATTGTTTGTCTATTGACTTTGCTTATTTATCTTTTGCCATACAAAAGGTTTTTTTTAATTGTTACTAGGTAAAATATGTCTATATTTTCTTTTACAGCTTCTGAATTTCCAATCATGGTTTACAAAGCACCCCCTCCCTGCCTCTGTTGAACGTGTAGCCTCCTAAATTTTCAAGATCGTTATTGTTTTTATTTTTTACATTTGTCTTTAATCCATATGGAGTTTATATTTGTATGTAGAATAAAATAAGAGTCCAGTTTTATTTTCTTCCGGATGGAAGTTGTCTTGGCACCATTTATTAAATAACCCATTCTTTCCCATGGAATTGAAATACCAGCTATGTCATATAGTAAATTCTTATATATATTTGGTCTATGTCTGGGTTCTCTATTTTATCCCACTGATCCATTCATCTACTCCCATGCCAATACAGACTGATTTAATTACAGTGCTTTTATAGGTCAGGCTGAGATCTGGGAAGACAAGCCTCACTCTTCATTTACCTTTCACATCTTTATTTGCCATTCTAAAGCATGCACCCTTCACTGTAGCTTTAAGATTATTTTATTCAACTTTCCCTCCAAAGAAAAAAACTTTCTTATCTGATTAGAATTGCATCAAATGTGTGCATTAACTTGGAAAAACTGACATATTTGTTAATATTCTTTGTCCTTGTCAGAGACAATGACTGAGTGCTTACTTTGGGACAAGCTCTAGGGGTATAGCAGTAAAGAAGACAGATATTGTCCTTGTCCGCTTGGAGTCCAGATTATTTTGTTTATAAATAAATGGGTCAGCAATTGCACTCCCAGGCATAAGCCTACAGAATTGAGTGCTGACATGCACCACAGGACATATACAATTCTCATAGCAGCTTTGTACATGATAGACGAAAAAGAGAAGGAACCAAATATCCCAACAGTAGAATGGATCAGTTGTGGTACATTTATATAGTGGGTTACCACACAGCAGTGAGAAAGAATGGGCCATCAATGCCCTCAACAAAGATGCCCCTCAGGTGTGTTGAGCGTAAGAAAGTGGACACAAGAATACATCCTAATACATCCAAAATCTGTCCAAGCTTAGGGTAGATGATGTGGGCGGGTGGAATAGTGGCTACTTCAGAACAGCGGGCGCATTTGGGCCTTGAGGGAACACAGGCAAGCTGCTGGGCTATGTCATGATTCATCCTGTCCTGGCTGATAGGACACCAGCACATGTACCCATCAAGCTGTGCATGTACAAACCGTCCACTTGACTGCTTCTGAGGCAGACTTCAACCAAAACAGAAAAGAATAAAAAGGAAATTCATCCTCACAAAGCTGCCTGCTTCCCCGTCAGGGTGTCTAGGATGAGTGACCACCTGTGGGCCTTCACCTGCCTTCTGCATCTCTGAAAAATTGAGTTTACCAGTGCCTTCTGCGCTGGGCTACTGCGATCTTGAAGCTGGAGCAGCTGCTGATCATCTCATGATTTTCCAGCTCCCATCCCTTTAAAAAATTCATTTTAAGACATTTCTTGATAGACTGCAGTGTAGTCTTGTGAAGGGCAACAGACCCGGCCCAGCTAGCTCTGGCTCCCTCTTCCCACCTGGTCGATAAGAAGCCTGGGTCTCTGTGCCTTATCCCCAAAAGAGTTGTAAAGTTCAATAACTGTCTGGAAAGCAAGCAAGACTCTGCTGTGCAATCTGGATCACCCATACCAATTTGCTTTGCTCACCCACCGTAGTGGCTGGGCCTTATGCTTCCTAGGGGAAAATGAGCAGTTTGAATGCCTGCCCCCCCTTCTCCCTTTCCCATCTCATCCACTCTTCCTTTGTTCTCCATCAGTGTGTTCCCTGATGTGGGGGCGCCTGGAATGGTGGCTTTGGGGAGAAAACTTAGCGTCAAAAACTTGGGCCCTTCCATGTGACCCCAAGATTGCAAGCATGGGATGTAGCCTGCAGTGGTCACGACAGGCAGACCACCATGTGGTGCTGCTGAGTTGCAATTATTCCGTGGCATTTTGTGTTTCCGCTCTCTAGGGTGGCGACACACTGCTTTCCAGTTCAATGTGAGGACATGTCCCACGGTGCTGACTGCCTGATGCTCCTGGGGGACATTCCTAACCCACCACTCGCGAAGTTATTAGAAATCCA